TTTCGTCCAAGAATCAATCGGTTTTTCGTTTCACCTCCATCATCTCTCACGCAAACAGCTTGTTGTGTGAACGTAAAACTTTCTTTGCGTGGTGACTATGGGTTTTTTGACTGATTAGTGAGTCGACGATCCCGGTGTCTTACGTGTGAATGCTGAGATTGGTTTAGATTATATATTTATTAACAATATACGATATTAAGCGAAACACAAATCACACAGTAACTGATGATGAGTCACGGTAATTTGATGGGCAAAGGAGGAGCCACCGAGGCTGTGGGTGGCTTGACCGCTCCGAGTTGGTTGAATGGTTCTTTGGCCTAAAATTTCTAAAGCAACTAGATTCAGAATGGCCTGAACGATTCCATCCGACACCAACAACTTCTGAAGAGCAGCATACCAAGTGCCTCATGATTCAACCGACCAATGACTCATTCACGTTCAACGCTCAACGTTTCAGCCACTACAATCGATTACTACGCTCAACTGCATTTGTTCGCTAAACTATTACGCAAATTGTTATCCAATGCTAAATGGGCAACGATCAGTTCATCCGGGCCACTTACAGCACAACACCTAATAATTGCAGAAACTTATCCAATCCAAAATGGTCCATAGTTACATCTGCAGGAGATAGCGAGGATTACTTCATTAGGTTTTAGCAGCTTGAAACTTCTTCGTAAAGGAATGGCGCTATTAGAACGTGATGTGTTACGATCGAAAGGTTGCATAAATTCATCACTTGTCACAGGAACAACCGTCAAGGTCGATCATCAACACAGGACGCAAAAAATGCTTTCAAATATTCTGTTAGATAAATAATATTTTGCTGCGGAGACATTTTTCTCGAAATTATCACAATTGCCGAGATATTTCTACTTTTTTAAATCGTATTCATCAACATTATCGTTTTCTAATGATAATTTGTAATTCCACTCCGATAATCAACAAGAAATACAACAAAGGGATTTGGTTTCAAGGTGGGTATGGAAATAAAGAATTTATTGAAGATCGGTAGATCATTGGGGTCTTGTGTTGTCGCAGGTGTTGTCCGTTGTCCACTGTCAACAGAGAGGTGTTGTTTGAGAATTAATCTGTTGGTGACAGCTCCAAACGCATGGAGATCAAATGCGATGTAGAAATTTGATAAGAAGACTATACTGTTGCATATGAATCGGCCTCTCTTTTCGTCCCAGAATCAATCGGTTTTTCGTTTCACCTCCATCATCTCTCACG